CAAACTTGTTTTACAGGTTATAAAGAAGATGTGTCTAAATTATCAGGCAATTTTGACAATTTTTCATTATTCTATGCACTATATCAAAATTCCGAATATTTATAATGACCACTGTATGTAATTATAGAATGTAATAAATGCATAATGCAAAAAGTTGAAGTTTCTTATTTATCATATTATCGCAATTTCCTTCAAAAAACAAAAGTTTATTATTGGGGTTGCCTATTTTCAGTCATAACTTCACTTCCATAACCTGCCCAGCGTCCTGATTCAAATCTGATTGTGAATTTTGGGATGTTTTAAAAAACGAATTCGTGCACCATCAACTCATTCAAAAAATCAAGAATTGATGGATGCACTCGCAGAGGAATGGAAAGAAATCAAGAATGATATTCAAAGAGAAATTGATCTACCAAAATTTTTTTTTTGAATTTTTCGTTACTTGATCTTGAGATTTGATTGGGATTAAAATCACGTCTTCTGGAAAACGTGGAGGCAAGCGTTTTTAGCACCCGTTACAAAATTGTTTGTTATTTATACTAACAACTGTAAATTGTCTATTTATTATCACTTCACACTCAAAATCTTTGATGAATTAATATATTTTTTGTATTGCTTTCAAATACAAGCATTATTTATTCGCTTCATGAAATTATAATACGGATATTCTTACCTCTATATAAAAAAGGTAAGCACGTAAGAATAGTATGGCCAGACTTAGTACGAGAAACGCGGCAAATTCCTTACCTATGTACAGTACATAAACACGTGGAAATGGCTCGAATTCGGCATTCCGTGTTTATGCGTGTGATTCCATGCTAAAAACGTGTTTATATATATACGAAATTTTTTCGTTGTCTGTGCTTGTTCGATTTTACATGCTTGATTTTATTTGCCAGATAATGGCTTAAACAAATAAATTACTACGAAATTCGTTCTTATTTTTCTAAAGTCTATTTATTTCGCATTTCCCTTAATAATAGTTTAACTGTTTCCAACCATTAATCTTTCAATATATCTTTATATCATTACATATTACTTAAAATAATTTCGTTTCCTGCAAATAAAATAAAGGCGGCATTTCTTTTAGTAGCCTTCGCTGATTTTTAATTAATATTAGAACATAAACGTCTACCTCATAACAAATCGACTATTGTGAACGTTATATGGATCACAATGCTGAATTAAAAACATTCGATGGATTATATCTTCAATGTTTTTGAAACTCCGATTAAATGCTGTAATCATACTTTTTTTTACCTGTCACGGAATATAAGAAAATGTGTAATATATTTAAAGCAAGCATAATAGTAATAATAAATTTGCCTTAACTCTCACTAACTACGTATCATCCTTACATGAATCCATTGTTAATGTAGACCAATAAACATGGAACCAACACCAGTCTACATATTGCGGCTTTAGCGCCACGTTTACTAGTTGAATCAGGAAAGCCTTATAGACAGGAAAGATAAAATATTTTATTTTATTTTTTTGTATTTACTTAGTAAAAAGAAACCAATTAATTCAGGTAATGCGCGAAGAATCAGAAATCAAGTCAAAACCACCATATCACCGCCAAGAGTGTTAGTAAAAGACGTCATTGGTTCCATACGCCAACCCATATTGCAGACTGGTAGCATGCAAATGTGGATGACTTGAAATTTATGATTTCGAAAGAAAATCCGATGGCATACCTTAAAAATTATGAATACATGTAGTGACCACGCCATGAGAGAGGATGTGCATTTATAGAAGTAAAACAATTAGAGATCTTATAAACTTGGGACTGAGTCATACCATGCTTTATAGAGGTTGCAGTATAGAGGTGCTTTTATAGAGGATTGATTATCTGTATTATAAATCTGGGCCAAATAAGCCAAACCAAGAAAAGCCGAATTTAATAAGTCTATCCAAAATTCTGTTGCAGGATTCCCTTAATAAGTGAAAATGAGCGACAGTAAGAAGAAGACGAAAGAATAAGTCTGATAACTTCTATCACTCAGGCATTGTAAATACTTTGTGACAACTCTTTGTTAATTTTGATGATAATAATGGGAAAGATACATCTGTGGGGATTTCATCATTATAAGTAAGAGAATAAAAACCAAACCATTGGCTCCACTAATAATGCAGTTGCTATTCAAGATTTAAACAAAAATTGTAGAGTACAAAATATAGTAACTATTTATATTTATGAATAGTTTTTATTTTTTTTTTCAATACCAAACATTTGTTAATTAACTATAACAGGTCTCATGGATGCATTTGCATGTGAACAAAAATAGTCGAACTCTTGATTGTATCAAATTGAATTTGAGCATTGGAGAATCTGAAATGCTTTTATTTATTTATTCAAGTAAAGTATTAAGACACATCAATTTATTGTATTAATTGCTTAAAAAATAAATCCAGATTACGGGGGCACTTCAGCATCTTATCTCTTAACGTTAAACAGCAACTTTGTTAAGAAAGGCACAATTTTTGTGAATTTGTACGACGACAATCCGTCTAATTCATTTTAAACGCCATCACATCAGCAATCACAAACACAAAAAACACCTGCACAAAAAGAATTGGAATATATCCAAACTATAAAAACTGTATCCATTTCAAAAACGAGAGTCAATGGACTTCTGAGAACAGAAACAAAAAAAAGGAGGCAGTAACATTGTATTTTCGTGAAATAACACCCATGCGCGTTATTTCGAATCACGGCCCGCATTAAACTTAATTAGGCCAAAATTCGAAATTACACCACTTGCGAAAAAGAAGGTATGTTTAATTTGTAGAATTTGTCTCAAGATTTTGTTCAGGTTTATTAGATAATAAGTCTCCTTCTCAACCTTTTGAACCTTATTTAATCAATAATGCAATCCTTAACTAGTATAAAAAAAGAAATTTCAAAATAACAATTCTTACAATCATCATTGTCATTTACTTTTCTATAAAAGTATATGTAATAACTTTTTGTATCAAACTTCTATGTACGTGAAAATATACCGATACTGTTACGATATATCCAATTGAAGAAACTACGAATATCATGTCATGTTTTTCGGAATACGTTATGGTACCGCTATACAATTACTCAAACGAGATTACTTTAATATTCATTAATCGGATTTATTCGTTTTGAAAGTCAGGACTTATTAAATCTTATACTACAATAAAGCTCTGCTTGTCATATTCAAAATTTTATTCTATTAATCTATTTAATTAACAGAGAAAATGTCATAAAAAAGAAATGCTGCTCTTAAGCAGGAAAAAATTTCTCAATAGAATATGGATTTGAAAGATTGAACAGAGATGCCAAAAATATCTTTAAACTGATATCGCTATAGATAAAAATAAAGTTAAACGTGTGTTTGTGCTCAAATGGAGAATAAGTGTGTATTTACCGTTATGGTCATTTTCGTATTTTAATATACTTTTTTGATTTAAACATTTCTTAAGGTGCATGAAAATTATTAGTTAGTTCTATGAAGATGGAAAAAAAAATAAATATATATATATTTATATATTTTTTTTGCTCTATTAAATGATAATGACGATAATACAGAATGCACAAATAAACCAATCTCATTTCATATTAATACGAACACAAACTTATTTTTCCTTTCACAATGCGCCATGGATCTGAATTTCCTTTTCAATCCAAGCTTGAATTGCTTCTAACACCACCGGATCTTTCGACACCGAATATCCCATCAAATACCGCCCAAGCTGTTTATCAAGATGCGTGATACTCGGTGTGCCAGTGCCACATAGTTCCAATAACTCGTCGGCTAATTTCCCATAAGAAATTGGTTCGAATTCTTTTCTTCGTTCATAGTAACGAATGAAAACTTCATTTAGTTTACGTCTTTGTTTCTCGGACCAGGTGCCAGTGTCGTTACGCTGGAATGCGATCTCGGTGTAGCCGGAATAGGCATTTGCGGGTGCATTGTAAGAAGCCCTGCGTCTAGAAGTTGCTTTTTGCTTGCCTTTTCGATCGTAATTGCTGTTACCGTTATTGGCATTGCTGTTTGATTGCAACGAGGATTGTTGGTGTGGGCGCGATGAAGAGTTGTTGCGTTGATATGGATGATGACTAAGTGAATGATGATTAGAATTCCTACTTGCGCTATTACTGTTACTACTATTATTATTGATATTAAAATTGTTAGGATAATTATTACTAAAAGGAAAATATTCTTCTTGCTTCATGAAATCAATGAATTGCGGCAGATCCTGCTGCTGATGCTGCTGATACACCGTTTTTCTGTCCCAAGTATCAGGAAACTGATAAAAATTTGGTGGCGGATTATGAGAAAAATTCGGGTGAGGTGGTGGTGGATTACCCATAAATGCACTGAATCCTGCGCCAGGCCTCAATGGCATAAAATTCGCTAAATCACTCATAATATTTCCGTATTCATGCTGAAAACCACCAAATCCCATGCTTCCACCGCCACCGCCTAAGAAGCTATTATCTTGTAAATTGTCAATGGCCTCTCGTAAATGCTGAAATCCGGTTGCAAGTTCTGAACATGCTCTAGAAATCTGTTAAAAAAAAGCATAGAAAATCAATCAATTTTTTGACAAGGAATTATTTTTGATATCTACTTGAACTTACGTATTCAAATTTTTTCTGGTATTCTGAAAATATTTTTTTCGTGGGAAAGGTTGGAAAGACCGCCGGTTGTGGCAGTGCTGCTTGCGGGGGTGGTGGAGGTGATGGCGAGAGTGATGCTGTTCTCATTCTTAGGTTTTCGAGTTCTTCTTGTGGTGGCGGTGGTGGTGGTGGTGGTTGTTGTTGTTGTTGATGCTGTTGTGGTGGTGCTGGTTGCACCTGCTCTTTTATTGGTTTCTGTTCTGGCTCTTTTGACTCTTTTATCGGTTCCTGTTCTGGCTGCTGATGCTGCTTTTGCGGCTCTTGCGGCTCTTGCTCCTGCTGCTCAATTTTTTCTACCGCTTCATTAATAATCTTTTTGTGATCATTATCATCATTTATACTATTCTCATTATTATTATTATTGTTATTATTATTATTCTCATCAATTGTATTATTATCGATTTCGATATTTTCATTTGGCATCTCGATAGCCATTGCTGCCTGTGGTGTCGGAATATTATTACTACCACTGCTTTCGGCAGAGATATCCATTGAAATATCGGCATCCATATTTGATATCAAAATATATTAGAAGAGAAGAATCCTATGAAATAAAATATGAAAATCATTTTCAAAATAATGGAGCATCAAATTTCCTGATTTTATGACGGAATTTTTACCTATAAATATCTATCCCCTAGTCAGCAAATAAACAACCAGGGAACTGGGAACTTTCAAATTGTTTTTGTAACGGTGTTGATGATATTGATGATGATAAACGATGTCGATGGGTGATTATAACAATACGATAAAAATACGAAAAAAAAACAACAAAAGGATGGATGAATGATGTGGCAGCAACTAAAGTAATAAACATTCAATGCAGGATAGGAGCTGCATTTTTAGTGTACCATCATCGTCATCATTTATATCAAGTTTTGGGTCGGTTGCTTTCATTTAATAACGGGCTTTGGTTGGTTGAATTTGGGTTGATCAATGATGATGATAAATTAGTGATGATTATTTTTATTTGCCCCAATCATCAGCCTTTAAAACACGTAATATCGGTCGCTTTAGCGGGTTTCGGGGAGGGATAAAAACGATAAAAGATAAATTTTCCGAGAGTTAAATTTCCAATAAGATAATAGCGAAACTGAAGTTCTCTTTTATTGTCTGATTATGGGGTTTTTTCTTTTTCTTTCTCTCGTCTTTGAGAAAGAAAAAGAAGAACGACAATACCGCTTTCCTTTTATGGAAATACGTACATGTATGTACTTTCTCTCGGGTTCCGACGACGTTAATAAGAACACTAAAGTGGCAATATATGGCACCAATACCACAAAGCCAATGTGGTAGATCTTTTATACGTATCGGTATATATTTTATTATTATATCTCCCGAAGAATATATATTGACGTTAATAATCTTAAATTACCAAATGAGCTCAATAAAAAACTTGTATGATAATATCGTTTTTCAAAGAGTTGGTTGGATGCCGCAAAGAATCTTGTAAAACACTATACATGTATATTTGTTCTTCCGCTTAGATGGACTTTCTCAAAGTGCCCAATAATCACAGTGACGCTTCCCTTAATTCATCATGCTTGATTTCAAATCCATAGTAAGCGAAAGCGCTATATTCGCAAATTACGCGAATACTAAAGTAACCTTTATCCTCTCTCCTAATGTGTATTAAACTAATTAACAATAAGAAAAATCCCTAAGCACTAATCGAAATTTCACTTAGAGAACACTCAGAGACACGAAAGCTTATACTATAACAGCATTAGCTTACGCATTCGCGTATTCTCGATGACAGAGCTGTTTATCTTAGGTTTTTTGGAATTCTAATGCCAAGCTGAACATGGTCATAAATAGCACCAATGATTGTTGTCATGCTGCAATACACAATTTTCTTCTATTTTTTACATCGCTTTCATGATTAGGGTCCTGTCATTCATATACGCACGATACGGGAAACTTTCTACCAACCTCAACTCATAGGAAAACTTGTAATAAGCCTGACAACACTTTATTTAGGAACCTGCACTAGTGAATTCATATTATTTACTAATCGATACAAGAAAAAAGGTAGTCGTTTTTTATTCTTTGTTGAACGATGATAATTTTTTGCCATCTAGAGAATTCTTAAAATTATCAAAACCTGAACCAATCTTTACCTGAGTGAAAGCAAGCAAAAAGTGGTATTTTCGATGATAAGTTTAATAATCTTCGTTGCCGGGGATATCTTTTCGGTGTATTCAAATTACGTAATAACGATAAGCAATCCTTTCCGTTGCGTCTCAATAACATGAATAGAATGCTATACCACGCATTTCACCTCCCAATTATTCCAAACCGGTTTAGCTCGAATACACAAGTTTCGTTTCAAACTGATAAACTAACGCTAGTTAATTTGTCTACGTGTATGTGAATGCAATGAACCTGTAAAAGAATTGTACAAAACATGGTAGCAATAATAATATTGAGAAAATCTGTGCCGCAATTTTTTGCTAAATAGGAAACAAAGTTTAAGGATGTATCCCAGTGCAAACAATATATGCGCCTTTAATGATTGATACCGACAGAGCTGCTGGTTTTAATTGGTGAATTTATTCAATCGATGATGCATATACCACACAAAAGAACTTGAAACTGATATTCATGCAACAGTGTACCGCGATTTTAATCGGAAATCAGAAAAAATTAATTGATTTAAATCACTTCTCGCTATTACAGAAAACCGCACCCGAAGAGCTACAGTTATTTGTGAGAGTTTGCCGGTAGTGAACACTATAGGAATTAAAAAGATAAAACTAACTTTGATTGTTTTACTTTTCCTTGGGTTTCTTTCTTCCTCGAAATGTGGTAATTTTTCATAATTGTTTAAAAATGTATGCATTTATAGGTTAAACTTCTTTGAATACACGTTAATAACCCAAAAAATTGCTTTTAGTTTGTCTAATGTGTAGTTCATTTTGTATACCTTTTTACCCACCAATGATTTGAAAAAAATGATTTATGCGATATTGTATGAATGCATTTAATTCCGCGGGTCATTCTTATTAGCTTTTTTAGTATCATGTCGAGGTCGAATGGAACTTCAAATACGTATCCTCAAAAAATAGTTACCTGAAAAGAGGATGTTTGGCTTGACATTTCCCATTTTCAGCTATCCCTTCTGGTTTTCATTTATTCCTTCTTTGTAATAAATACTAAGTCTCGATTTTCCTCCATCTTTGCTGATTTCACATATCATTCAAATGGTATACTTTAATTTATCCCGATAACATAGTCTGAGTTTAAATTACTACTTAAAGACTTTATTTGCTACGTTAATTCCTTTATCATAGCAAAGTCAATTGATTTATTTTCCGTGCCGAGTTTCCATATATTTGAAAGCAAGTTTCGAAATGTTAGAAATCTCTTAGGAAAATAATTAATTCATCGATAATTGGATAAATTTCTCTTTTTGAATTTTAATTATGGAAATCTTTTTATGTTCGACTGGAATATACATAAGATGAATTCAAATTATTTTTTACCAGGGATATTGATGCTTTGCTCGAGTCTTTACTCTTGTACTGCTGCTTAATACATGTAATTACACATGTACATGTATGCGGTTACATGGTATGTGCCACAAATAATCAGGGAAAATACAAGATTTTGAATTTTGTGTTCTTGACATAACGATAATCGAACAAATAATGTACATGTACCGATGCGTATAAATTGAACACGAGTAAGCTAAAATTAGTATTGCTAAAGGAATATGTATGTAAATTAACAAAAACATAAATGTCGGTCAGAAATAGGAATTTAATCAATTCTATTTTTTGAAATTCTATTGTCCAGGATAATCATTTTTGCTAAATTTGCTCTATACATGTGTAAAGTCCGTAAAGACATAATAATGCTCAATACAATTATTAATGAGTAAAATTATGCGTGCAAACAAACGTACTTTTATTTATTACTATATGTTAATTTTACTAAATACTAATACACTCTAAGTAAATCAAATATTTCAAGCTTTCCCAATTTTTATGGTATGCATATTTTATTTTAAGTAACATTCGTTACGAGTTGATATATAATTGGCAAAATCATATGCAATGAAAATGCATGCTGATCAGATTTTTGTGATAACGATAATATCAGATTTATTTATCGTTATGTAACATTACCTTGAATTAAATTCGATTTGTGTTCAAACATACATAATGACGTCATAACAATAGATGTCGTTGGTTTCTGCTATAATTTTATTTTTAGTATTATAACTATAATATACAAAAGTCAGAGTAGAAAATGAAAATTTTATAATACAGGAGAAAAAGAGAAAAAACAATTCATTTGATTCATAATCATTCAAATTGTACTTTTGGATCAATCAATTGATATTTTTATCAAAATGCTGAAACAAAAGAAAGAAAAAGGTAAGAAAGAATTTTTGTGTTCTTTGACGTTTGCAGTATATCATTTGTCATTGATGTTGATGGATGATGTTTGTGATCTTTCGTGTCATTGTGACTCATAAAAAAAGAGGATTATCCATAAAAAAGCCAAATAGCAAAAAGGGGATAAAAATCAAATTCAAAGTCCAGTAAAAAAAAACTATTCGCTGCCCTTCTCACCAATCACAATGGGATGATCTTCTTTTTCAAATATGCTAGGTATACCAGGTCTTTTTATGGCAGAAAATGCAGTGTCATAATCTCTTTCCAACCACCACGGAACCTCTCCATCCGAGTATAAGAATCTGTTAGTTACCACGTCGTATAGTTGGTCATATTTGTACGACGAGGATGATGACGCCGAAGTAATTACTCCACGGACATTATTTACTACGCCACCTTGTGATCTTAAGAATGGTGACTGTTGATATTGATGACCGATTAATGACGCAGCAGGATTCTTGTGTTGTTCAAACAATGATGAATTCATCAGGTTATTATTATTATTGTTGATGAAGATGTTATTATTAGCATTATTGATGCTGGCATTATTCATCAAATGTTTTTTATCAATGATAATCTGAACAGAGTCAGGTTGAAAGAATTCAGCAGCTTGTTCAAGAGTCATCGATTCCAATATATTATTATTATTATTATAGGCATCCAATTCAGAAGAGGTGATTTCTTTTTTAATAACATCACTTTTTTGTTGTTGTTGTTGTTGTTCGATTATGGACATTGGTGATGGTGACGATGACGAGGTGGTTTGTTGTAACTGTTGCAATAAAGGTGATCTTGGAGTTCCTATTGTTGATGTGGATGAATCGGATCTAATTGATTCTTCACGTTTGAAATTGACGATGAGGTCATTGTCATTAATGTCGTTATTATTAAGATTAATACCGTTACTTTGATCTTCATTATTAGTGCCGTCATTAATAATACCCATAGTATTATTATTATTATTATTACTATTATTACTATTATTATTATTATTACTATCATCAAGATCCATTGATGCAATCGTTTCTTGCGAATCAATTTGTGGAGTTAAGGAATGTGACTGATGATGAGAATCGGTTGTCATCATTACGGGAGTGCCAGCGATAGAAGACTCTGATTTCTCCTCAATAAATAAATTATTATTGTTATCATCATTATTATTTAGATTATTTAGACTAGTGAGATCATCTTCTTCTTGTTTTAATGCAATTTGATATGGTTGCTGCTGCTGTTGCTCGAAATCTCTCAGACGTCCCAACAACGCCGCCTTAGTACCAGTCGAGAGAAGACCATAATCTATTATTATTTATTATGATTATGATTATGATTATTATTATTATCAATAGAGTTTGGTGTTTTATTATTATTATTATTATTATTATTATTATTATTATTATTATTATTGTTATTACTATCAGAGACTTGAAAAAGCGTCCAATATAGACGCATAGTTATTTCAATCGAAACAACACACGTTATAAAAAATCAAACACGTACCATTACATAGTTTCTTAAGTTCCTTAACGTTTTTGGTATCCATCTGCTTTGCGATTACTATTACCCTATGTGCGTGTTTCTTTAGAATTTGATTTTGAAAATTAGTAAAGAAACAGCAAAAACTAAAACGAACGAACGAACAAATGAGAGGCGTATGATTACTATGAAATAATGATTGTCTGGTGCGTGCTGACCAAAAAAAAACCTTATTGATGTAAATAAGTATGTGCATGAGCTACACAAAAGAAATTCACTTGCACAACTTTTTAGAATCTGCATTATCAGGTGTTACCTCCTTGGGTGGTTGTTTAACCTTATTTCTTCATCATACTGCAGAATTTTAATAATGTCATTCTCACGATCCACAGCTATTTGTTTTGATGAATTAATGAGCACGGGCCTGTCCGACTGCTGACTGGCTTTACCATGAAAAAAAAAGATAAAAAGAGGTGCTGGATACGGCAGCGACGAATTTAAATTTTTTTCGGTGGGCAAGCAAAGTAACTCCTTAATTATTTTAATTTGTACGCCATTTGCTTCTTTTGTCGTATAATATACAATATATATCTCACATACATTATTCCAAATTGAAACACATATTCAAAAAAATTATATGTATCCATAATACATGTACATGTACGTACGTATTCTGTCTCATTGAAATGTGAATTAGTATAAGTTTATGCATTTATTCATTGATCACACATACAAATAAGCCGACCGATGCAAAGATTTCCACAGCCTACTCTATCACGTATATTATCATGCTCAATTATGTGTTCCAAAGGAACAACACTACTTACAATAAATTTTCGTTTTCTTTCGCACTTCCAGGAAACAAATGATTATGGTGTTGACACGTACGCTCAATTGAGTTGAAAGTTTGCGCGCCTTCCATTCCGTTTTATAGTTTTCATCGCAATTTCGTCCAGCTGTCATCGAGCTGGTAAAGATCGAACAATTACAACACGCGAATGCTACACAATTTCAATTCTCGGAGTAGCAATAAATTTATTTTTGGAGGAAATGAATTTTTATTAGTGTTGATCCAATATCGGCGTATGGACTGAAAAGTTGTTTGTCCATTCAGTTCTTGAGCTCTCATATTGGTTTTTGTATTATACCGTCAACAAAGAAGGTCTACGATTATTTCAATGCAGGATATATTAAATTTATGTTTCGCGGCTTTGGTTATATATATATATTAATTATTTTGCGACTTTAAGAATCTACTTGCGTAATGAAAATATTTTCCTCATATTTGTTAGCGTATAGTATAAAAAAATAAGTCGTTAATAAAAAAAAAACAAAGAATAAAACAAACCCGATAATATTTGCTTTAATGTGAAAGTAAACAAACTTTCTCTCCAAATTTATTACGATTGGTATAGAACCAGCGGATAATTCAAATGCAAAGAGGAGCAGAACCTGTTTTTCAGTGAAACAGACGGCTCGCTTATCACACTTCTTTCTCAGGAAATTCTGTTAATTCAAAATCTCAAGCTTCTAACTTATCGGAAAATTTTGGGTTTATCATCTTTCAATACTTATGTTCCATAATCGATTGCGCCCACATAAACTATCTGACGTTTGTATTATACATTCAGTAAGTTTTTTTATTTCATCACATCGGAAAATTATGACTTTTCGTAAAAATTATTTATTGTTTTAATTTATTATGCCAATTATTGTTTTCGCGCGCACATCTAATCATAATCGATTTCGAAAGTTCATTATATGTTCTTCTTTTTGCAAACGTAATTGTTTCCTTGTTCAGAATCCGAGATCACGAGGTCGTTTCATTGCGTCTTTTTATTACATGTACAGTACGATTTACGTGTGTAACCATTTTTTAAAAATACATTTATCAAGTTTTCTCCCTTTTTTGATAATAAACATCACTTTGTTTATCTTTTGCCACTCCTTCAACGCTATAATTTCGTTAGGTTAAAAAATGGTGTCCCCCTATACGCAAGCTTAACGAAGTTGAAAAAGGGGAAGATTTTGGCGTACATGGACACCACAAATGCCACTCAAATCGCAAAAATACTCGGACGCGACCCTACAACGGTACGCCGCTTTATAAATAAATATAAACGAACCGGAAAAAGTGAAAACTTACCCACATTTAGGAAGACCACCAGCCTTAAACAACCATGAAAAGGATATACTAATACGTGAAGCTAGCGAAAAACGACGCATATGCTCGTATTAAATGATGTGAAGAAAATAAAAATAAATCAGCTTATGATTGGTTGAAAATAATTTTCTCTGATGAAACCAGTGTGGAAATTGGAAAGCAGTCACGGCAGCCAAGAGTTTGGCGGCATCCTGGAGAAAAGTTTAACGTTAATTGTTTGGCGTCTACCTTTGAAAATCTGTAATGATTTGGAGTTATTTCGTGGAAGGACCATTAATTTTTTGTGATGGATATAAAAAAATGGCGAAAAAATAACTGCAAATACTTACCTCGAAATCTTAAAAACTCAATTACTTCCATTCCAGAACGCAATTAGGGAATTAACTGGAAGTTACGCAATCTTTCAACATGACAATGCGCCGATGCATACTGCGGGAAAAATCAAGGATTGGTTAATTGAAAATAAAATCGTGATTATTAATTGGCCGGCGAATTCCCCAGACCTGAATCCTATAGAGAACATTTGGAAGATATTAAAGGACAATATTCAAAAAAAATGAGAACTTTCCGACGAACTTAAGATTGCACTGAAGATGGAGTGAGAAAAACTTGATGTGGCCATTTTAGCACGGGTTACTGCATAAATGCCACGAAAAAATTAATGCAGTATTGGAGTCATGGTGGGCCGATTAACGTTAAATATTAAATAAATTTTATTTTTTATTTGGTGTCGAAAATCAAATAAATTGAAAAATGATCTAAATTTTTATTTTTAATTTTGCACCGGGCGATACTTTCTGTGGGTACTGTAATGCTTCATTTTCTCATTATGAATACTGACACTATCAATTATTTTGAAGATATGATCTAAACAAAATGTCAAATGTAAATGTATATCGAAACATAAGTTTCAATTTAGAACACCAAACATTTGCATGTATAATACATAGCATGATAGCATTACGTATTAAGAGCCAGTAATCTTGAAATCGATTATGATTAGATGTGCGCGCGAAAACAATAATTGGCATAATAAATTAAAACAATAAATAATTTTTACGA